TAAGAAAAAGTAAAAACCAGAAGATAAAGAAAAATACACAATGTACAGTTATAACCATAAATGTAAATGGGATAATCTCATCTATTAAAAAGTAGATAATAGAATGAAATAGAAAGCAGAATCCAACAAAATATTGATTACAAGAAACATACTTTAAACATAAATATTCACACAGTTAAAATAAAAGAAGTTAGAGCAGAAATTATACCTCGTATGAACTTAAAAAAGCAGGATTAGCGATCATAATCTCAGACAAAGCAATAATAAAAATAAAGTTAAAAGAGGTGAACAAAGAAACTACATCATGTTTAAAGGCACCATAAATAATGAAATAATATCAATATTTTATATGCTTATGTACCAAATGGCACAGCATCTAAATACTGAAAAGAAAGGTTAACTGAATTTCAAGGAGGAATAGACACGACAATTATAATAGCTAGGGATCTCAATGAACCTCTTGCTGAACTAGATAAATCTAACAAAAAATAAGAAAGAAGCCTTTCCATACTCCTTAATCTCAGTGCCTCTCTGTAAGATATCCACATTAATTCTCTATATCTATTCTATATGATATATGTGTGTGTATGTATGTGTGTATCTATATACATATATGTATGTGTGTATCTTATTTGTACATAGATGTTTACATATTGTCTCCCCATTAGACTGAGACCTCCTTGAGAGAAAAACTGTTTTGCTTTGTTCTGTTTTGCCTTTGTATCCCCAGAACTTAGCAGGCACTCACTAAATGCTACGTCACTCACTGACCATAGAGTGACAGCAATTAACGAATGAGAATCATGAAGAGCATATACATTTATTAGCTATATAGGTCATCTTTACAAAAATTGACTGTGTGTTAGGGCATAAAAACCTCATTCTTAAATGCAGAAAAGCAGAAATATTAAACAAATTCCTTATTGACAACAATTCAATAAAATTATAAGTCAATTAAGGCCTTTGAAGAAAATATTCAAACTTAATTAAAGACTAAGTAATTTCATCCTACAAAAATGGTAGGTCAAAGAAGAAATCATAGAAATAATAGATAATGTCATTAAAGAAAATGACAATATGAGACAATGAAAATGACCAATGAGACAATATGCCAGAAAGTTTAGGATGAGGCCAAACAGACCTTAGGGGAAAATATCTATTTCTAAACATTTTCATCAGCAAAAGGGAAGAAAATAGAGGGATTAAAAAGAAACTAGAATGACAACAAATCAAAAAACTCAATTAAACATAAAAAGTCTGATTATTAAAGAAGAGATGAACAAAATTGAAAGCAAAAACATTGAATTTATAAATTAAATATAAATATATATATATATATATATACATAAATTATAAATTAAGCTAACAGCAATTTTAAGACAAATTAGATAAACCGTTAGTCTGATTAAGAATAAAAGAGTAAGCTCCAATTGCCAGTCACAAAAATGAAAAAGGAAGATTGACAACAAATGAAGAAAAATAAAGGAAATTATTCAAATCTATTTTGCCCAATTACATGCTAAAACACTATGCAGTAATACTGTGGTCCAATTTCAGGAGTAGACCTCACTTAGAGATCCTGAGAAACCATATGGGACAGTGGAGAAAGCAATGATATTAGAGTTAGGGGACAGTCAGTGTCGCTTAGTGTATTGCTAGCTGATCTTAAACCAGCAAGATTTAGATTAAATTCATACCTGCATGATCTTGGGCAAATCGCTTAACCGTTCAATTCTCCAGACAACTGTCAGGTGCTATAATTTGTGGAGCAATCTTCATTAATAGATTAAATTTCCTATTCCAATGAAATTACAGGTCTATCAAAAAAAAAAAGTGAGAGAGTGGGTCCCAGCTCTGACATCTAGACATGTCTGAGACTATAGAATGTAGAACTCCGATGGAACTTAACAAGCATAGTGTCCAATGCTTTCTTTGGTAGATGAGAAAACTAAGGCCCAGAAAGGCTAAATGACTGTATGACCAGGGTCACACAGGTAGTAAGGAGGAGAGTCAGGATTTGAATCCAGGTCTTCTAATTCCAAACGCACTTTCCACTACATCAGTCAAGCTTTCCGTGCTTGTTTGCTTGTTCATACATAAAATCAGAATGGCAGAACTTGCACTACCTACCTGTGGGGAAAAAATGTCTGTACAGCTTGAAGCACTATGGAAATATGAGTTATTAATGTCCAAGCTGCTGCCTATTCTTTCATCAAGCCGAGCATTTTACCATCATCAGTGCTTTTTATTCAAAAACCACAGAGGTACTATTGAGAAGCGGGGGATTCAGTCTGCTGGCCACAGCCATGGAACAAATTAGTTGCAAAGGTCTCACTGAAGTGAAACAGCTTTCAGTATTTATGGGAAAACAAGAACAAGACATGCTCTTACAGAGCACACTCCATTTCTCCTTTCACTAGCAGGGCAAGCAGGATGGCACCGTGGGGAAAATGAATGAATGAGTGAGTGAATGAGGGAAGGACAGAGTGAAATGGCATTTAGTAAATGCTTACTGTGTGTCAAGTACAGTGCTAAGCACTGGGAATGTAATTCAAGGGCTAATAATTCCTGTCCCCAAGAAGTTTATGTTTTATTTTTTATTGTTATTTTATTTTGGTGAGGCAATGGGGTTAAGTGACTTGCCCAGGGTCACATAGCTAGTAAGTGTCAAGTGTCTGAGGCCAGATTTGAACTCAGGTCTTCCCTAATCCAGGGCTGGTATTCTATCCACCACACCATCTAGCTGCCCCCAAGTTTATGTTTTAATAGCAAGACTTAGCATACATGAGCCAGGGGAAGCTGTGTTGGTCTGGGAAGTCTTGGAGATGGTCATCAAAATAATAGCGCAATCTATTAACATTGCTTTTCAAGAGATAATGGTAGCACTGATTTGATTAAAGTTCTCAGCACAAGAAAAGGAAATAGATGGAGAGGAATGGCAAGGTAGAAAATAGCACAGTTAAGATGAGATTGCATTGTCCTTGGGAGCTCAGAGCTGAAGGGCTTAGCTCTCGGGCACGTTCTGTGGACGTCTGATTTGGAGGATGGAGCAGCAGCAGAAAGACGTGTGAAAGTACTAGGTTTGAAATCTCAGACTTCCCTCTTGACCACTGTGCAACCTCGAGCAAATCACTTCACCTTTCTGGACCTCAGTTTCCTCAGCTGTAAAACAGTGAGGTTGGACTAGATGATCTTTAAGCCTCCTGCTAATGCCATGACCCCATGAACATCAAGCTAATATAATAATAGTGAACCAAATCCTAATAATAAGAAAATGTCAGGCATTTGTGGAAATGAATTATTAACACTTTGAGGGTTGCAGGGGTCTTATTAATAGAGAATGAAAATATACCCAAAAAGCCAGTGGCAACTCACAGTGCAGTTTCCTGATTGTTGATTTCTACAGGGCCAATATCATCCCCAGTCTAACTGTCTCAGCTAACTTCTAATTCCTTTCCAAAATTTTATTCTTTGACTTAGCTATTCTTTGCAAACAATGATCCAAGACAACTCTGAAAGACATGATGAAAAATGCTATCCATCCCCGGAGAAAGAACTGATAGAGTCTGAATGCAGATCAAAGCAAATTTTTTTTTTTTACTTTCTTCATTTTTCTTGTATTTTTCTTTGGTCTGTGTTTTCTTTTGCAACATGACTAGTATGGAAATATATTTTATATAACTACACATGTATAAACTATATTACATTGCTTGCCTTATCAATGAGGGGGGTAGGGAGGGAGGAAAAGAATTTGAAACTCAAAATTTTTAAAATTATTATTTAAAATTATTTTTACATGTAATTGGGGAAAAATGCTAAATAAATATTTTTAAAAGAATGGAAAATTTTTATTCTTTCATCCTTTGCTGTATAGTCAAAACACATACCCACCTTAACAATTTTTGGGGTTCAGTTCATAATTCCAGTTACCACATTATATGGCCTTTAAGGTTCCTTCCTGCTCTAAATCTGTGAACCTATAATTTATGGATATAAATCAGTTCAACAAGTATCTATTAATGCAAGGTGCTATGCTAGGTGCTGGGGATACAAGGAAGAAAAAAAGAAAAGTAACTCTTGCCCTCAGGGAACTCAGCTTGTAACAGGGGAGAGAGGAAAAGGAGGAAAGGTACAACATGAAAACATGTTGCAACAGAGTAATGTGAAGAGGAAAAAAGCCCCAACTACAAGGGGGATCAGGAGAGGCTTTAGGTAGGAGTCAATAAGCTGTCCCTCCTTGAAGGAAGCTCAGGGTTCTAAGAGGGAGAGGTGATGAGGGAGGGGATGTTGGGCACAAGGCTCAGCTTGTACCAAAATAAGGAGTCAGGAAATGAAATGCAGAATTTAGTAGTCCCTTTTGGCTGGAACATAGAACATATAGTAATGGGCCATGGAGGGGGGGGTTGGAGGGTAACGTGAAATAAGTTTGGACAAGTAAATGGTGGCTCAATTATGAAAGACTGCACATGCAGAGTTAAGTAAATATTTATAATGGTACTGGTGGTGAGAACTGTTAATTCAGGAAGATTATTTTGGCAGATAGGTGGAGTATAGATTGGAGAAGAGATATGGGCTTAAAGGAAGACAAAGTAATCAATTAGGGTGCTATTGCAATAGTCTAGGTCAGGGGTGGTGAGAATCAGAGCTAGAGTAATGTTTATGAGAATAGAGAGAAGGGAGAGGGTAGGAAAGACTCTGTGGGCCTAGAATTGACAAGGCTTGGTGACTGAATGGAGAAAAGAGTGGGCAAGGCGAGAGAGAGGAAAGAGTCAAAGATGATTCTTAAGTTCACAAATCTCAGTAACTAGAAGGATGGTGGTGACTGCAACAGAAATAGGGAGGTTGAAAGGGCAGGATAGACTTAGAAGAGAATGTAATAAGTCTATTTCAGATACGTTGAGTTTGAAGTGCCAGTGGGATTTCTTGGTAGTGATGGTCAACACAGCACTTTGGTCATTTGCCTCTTTAATGCACTTATCGTATAATGTTCTCCCTTACAGAGATGCGTGGGTGAATATCAACTCCAAGACTGTAAACGCCATGCACGCAGGCACAGAGTCTTACTTTAACTTTGTATCTTCCTCAGAGCTTAGCACAGTAATAAATAATTATTAAATTGGCATTTGAACCCCAATAGCGTCTAAGGTGTGCATTTTTGTTCTTCAGGGGAAAAAAGGAAATAGTAAATTTGTAAAAAAGGAATTAGACTCAGATGAATTGATACAGAGTGAAGTGAGCAGAAGCAGGAGAACAATTTATATGATGACGACAACATTGTAAAGACAAACAACTCTGAAAGTCTTAAGTCAATGCAATGACTAATCATAATTCTAGAGGCTCACGATGATGCATGCTACCTGCCTCCTCACAGACACATGACAGACTCAGGATGAACAATGGCACTTACATTTTTATATGGCTAATGTGGGAATTTGTTTTATTTGACTGTGTATTTGTTACTAAAGTTTTTTTTAAATAGGGAGGAGGAGGGAGAGTCAATAAATTTTTATTAATTGAAAAAAATGAAAGAAAAAAAAGAATTGGGAAGGGCAGTGAGGTGGCGCAGTGGATAGAGCACTGGCCCTAGAGAAAGGAGGACCTGAGTTTAAATGAGGCCTCAAGAATCAGTGAGCTACATTTTTTCCCTAAGGTTTTAAAATTTTATTATATACTTTTCATTTATCAAGCATTTTGTCTTGCTCTCCTCTTCCACTGAAAAGGAAAGAAAGGAAGAAGGAAGGAAGGAAGGAAAGAAGGAAGGAAGGAAGGAAGGAAGGAAGGAAGGAAGGAAGGAAGGAAGGAAGGAAGGGAGGAGGGAGGGAGGGAGGGAGGAGGGAGGAAGGAAAGAAGGAAGGAAGGAAGGAAGGAAGGAAGGAAGGAAGGAAGGAAGGAAGGAAGGAAGGAAGGAAGGGAAGAGAAGGGAAGGAAGGAGAGAGGAAGGAAAGAAGGTAGAATCTCTGGAGTCATGGTTGATCATTTAGTTGATTAGATTTTTTAACTCTTTCATTATCATTCATTTTTATAACATTAATGTTGTATTAGAAATTGTTTCTCTGGCTCTATTCATTTTGCTCTGGATCAGTTTATGTCTTTCCATATCTCTTTGAAACTATCTTTTCTCTCATTTTTTACAGCCCAATAGTATTCTATTATATTTCTATGGCAGTATAAGCTTCACAGGCAATGTGGAACTGAAGTTCGGGAGAAAGGAGGGCTCTGTGTGTGTGTGTGTGTGTGTGTGTGTGTGTGTGTGTGTGTGAAACATGTGTGTAGTTATGATAATAAAATGCTCCTAAAGAGATTTATTTAGTACCATATTGAATGAATGCATTCTCCTCCTCCCCTAAAAATAACAACGACAATAACAACTCCTGAGCCACTGTTCTGGCATGGCAGTGAGGAAAAGACAGAACATTTCAGGAAGGAGATTATCCCCATTGACCAACAGAGAAACCAAGACATTTGGGGAAAAGATGCCACTTCAGGTCTTCTCAGAGCAAATCAGCGGATCTGGGAATAAAGAGGCCTTAGGCCTGCACTAAGGTGATGCTGTTCTCCCTTCCCGCTCCTAGACTTGGTGATTGTTTGATCAATTGGGTCTGTAACAGATCTGTCTCATTTGCAGTTCGACGTGTTTACCTTTGCAGGGAAATACTTAGGGCCATTATCAACCATCTGGATTATTGACTTTCACCTCAGATAAACAGCATAGACCAACCCCTACTCACTTCTGACAGCCTTTCTTTGGTTTGGTGTCAGGCTCTACAAAAGGCAAATTCTCTTGGCCTGAATATATCACAAATATCTTTTCATGGATTTCATACTTATGTTCTCTTTGTTGATTTCAAGAGCAAGAAGTCATAGGCTTGTACTTATGAAGCCTCTTAGAAAGTAGCTGATAGTGTAGCTGGTTTTGAATGGGCCTTCATGTCTTCCTGTACTTAGAGAAGACTGACTAATATATTCTACGATAGGCAAAGATAATTTACACAGATACACATGAATGAAAGAATGAAAAAGCATTTATGAAGCCCCTACTATGTGTGAGCACTTTGCTAAGCCCTGGTGATACAAATAGCAAAGCAAAACGGTTCCATCTCTTAAGGAATTCAAATTCTAATGGGGAGGGGGAAGAGAGAGAACACATATAGCAGGTTTTAGGTATAAGTTAGATGGAAAGGGCCTTAAGGTGTCTGCCTCTTGGGATCACTATTCAGTCCCCTACTACCAAGTAAAGAAATACAAAGCAGAGAAGTGGATAAAAACCCAGACTTAAGCTCACCTGGCTAAACCACCGCTCTGGCTGTGAAGTGGCCATACTGTCAGCATGAGGGAAAGGATGCTACTGCCCTTTGCTCACCCCTTCGTGGGAAGTGTACTGAGGGAAAGCTACTCGCCACAGAGGAGGGTTTAGGAAAGAGATCTAACCTGAAGTGGTCTCTCCATTTGAACTGAAATATCATGGGACAAGGGATACCAAGGGATACCGAAGGTTTGCCACATCATACCAAAGTACCAAGTCTTTCAGTCCTGAGCCAGCACAAAAGATTGGCTGGAAAAAGCAGAGTAGCTTTGTGCACATTCTGTGGAGCTACATAGCACAACAAGACACATACAGGGTAGATCTAACTCACCAATCAATTGAGCAATCAATAAACATTTATTAAGCACCTACTGTTTGCCAGGCACTGTGCTTAACACTGAGCATACAAAAATGGCGAAAAGGTGATCCCTGCCTTAAGGAGCTCACAATCTAATGGAGAGACAACAATGGATACATACAAGCTATATACAGGATAAAAAGGAGATTGTTAACTGAGGGAAGGCCCTAGAATTAAGAATGGTTGGGAAAGGCTTCCTGTAGAAGACGGGGTTTCAGCTGGGACTTCAGATAAATCAGAGAAGCCAAAAGGTAGAGAGGAGGAAGGAGGACATTCTGGGAATGGGGGACAACCAGAAAAAAATGACCTGCGCTGAGAGATGGAATATCTTGTTCATGGAACAGCAAGAAGACCAGCATCACTCGATCAAAGAATGTACGGCAAGAAACAAGGTGTAAGAAGACTGGAAAGATAGAGGGATCTAGGTTATGAAGGGCTTTGAAAGAAAAGCAGTCTATCAGAGGGTAGAGCCCTAGCAGCTGGGGGGGGGGGAGCTAGAAACGACCTACAGAAAGTGATGCTTGAGCTTAATCCTGAAGGAAGTCAGGGATTTGAAAGGCAGCTGAGAAGGAAGGACATTGCAGGCATGAGGGCCAGCCAGTGCAAAGGCACAGAGGTGGGATGGAAGGAACACCAACTAAACAAATAAGGCTGGGACATTAAAATTATGGAGGGGAATAATGTGCGAATAACAATAATGATGTCTCTTGGAGAGACAGGAAAGTGTCAGGCAATGAAGAATTCTAAATGCCAAACATGTAAGTTTATATCGTGCCTAGAGATAAATGAGAACCACTGAATTTCATTGGGTAAGTGAAGTGTGGGACGGGGGAATGACATAGTCAGACCTGCACTTTAGAAAAATCACTTTGGCAGCTTTGTGAAGGATAGATTAGAGTGGAGAGAGACTTGAGGTGGAAGAACCCATTAGTAAACCATTGCTATGATACAAGTAGAGGGTGATGAGAGTCTGAACTAGGGTGGTGGCTGTGTGAATGGAAAGAAGTTGTATCTGAGAGACGTTGCAGAGATAGAAACAAGATTCAGCCAATGATTTGGACATGTGGGCGTGAGCGAGAGCGAACTGTTGAAGACTACATTGAGATTGTGAACCTGAATGTTTGAAAGGATGGAGGTGCCCTTGATAAAAGGGAAGTGCAAGAGATGGTGTGTTTGGGCATAAAAAATGATTTTTGTTTTGGTTGTGCTGAGTTTCAGATGTCTACACAATATCCAGCTCAAAATGTCTAATAGGGAATTGTTGACCTTGAACTGAAGCTCAGGAGAGAGACTTGGGCTGAATATACAAATCAACAAGTTAACTGCACAGAGGACATTTGAGCCCAGGGTAGCTGATGTGAGCGCCAAGAGAATCTAGAGAAAAAAGGGAAGAGGACCCAGGACAGGACCCAAATGGGAATGCCATGGATGAAGATCTAGCAAGTAAGTCTAAAAAGGAATGGTCATATTGGTAGGAAGAGAATCTAACAAGAGAAATATCACCAAAACTCATAGCAGACTAACTACCTAGAAGTAAAAGGCCATCAGTATGCTAAATCAATAATGTCAAAGGTACTGTTGAGGTCAAGGAGAATGACAATTGAAAAAAAAAAAGGTGCCTCAATTTGGCAATGAAGAGATCAATTGCAACATGGGACAGAGCATTTTCCATTGAATGATGAGGTCAGAAGCTGAACTACACAGGTTTAGGAGGAAGTAAAAGGAAAGGAGGTAGAGGGAAAAAATGTGTAGATGGCCTTTTCAAGAAGTTTGGGTCAGAGATATAGGATGAGGACTAAAGAGACTGTAAGATCTAAGGAGAGATTTTTGGGGTTGGAAGAAACTTAGGAATGTTTGTAGGCAGCAGAGAAAGAACTAGTAGGTAGGATAAGATTGAAGATTAGAGAGTCATGTTGGATGATATTAGAGTCGTCTGCTGAAGATATTGATATGTGTAGAGGCATTGACCTTAGCAAAGAGAAGGCACAACTATCCATCAGAGACTGGGGTTAAGGAGGAGAGAGTTGAGTACAGTGTGTGGCTATATAAAAGAAGAAAACAAGAAAAGCAGCTTACAGTGAATAGTCTTGATTTTTCAAGTGAAGTTTGATTAGGTCTTCGGCTGAGAGGATAGGTAGAAGAAGTTCTGTGAGACGCTTGAGGAAAGAAGAGAGTTGGCGAGTGGAATAGAGACTGTTGCTGTTCATGCTTCATTCTCAAAGAGGGCCGATGACATCAGGAGGGTGGTCTTGACTTGCAAGTGAATTGGATTTAAATGAGACAACACTGTGCAAGGTCATCATTAGCCTCCCTCTCTCCTCCAGTCATCAAAGTCCAGTGGCAAGACATGGGCAATGGCAGTGAGAGACCTTGGTCTTGTTGGGAAGAGGAGAAAATTTGTCTGACTACAATGAAGGCCCAGCTGAAGTGGCTGGAATACCACAAATCTGCAGTGGAGCCAGTCAG